TAATTCAGATATAATCTAGAGACTGTCTTCTTTGCCAATAGATAATTTACCCTTTTGGATCTGGTTTCATATTTTTACTTTTCCTAATTTACTTTTTCTTTTAGAAAATGAAAAATGAGAGGAAGCATTCTCCAGGAATACCTAAGAAAACCTACCATTAGTTCATAAAATAGAAATGAACACCCAAGTGTTCTATTGATCGCAGGTGAAGTATTTTAGAGTACCTTAATTTTAATCTTACTCCTATTTATCTGGATATTATAACTAGAAATTTCAAAAGCCTTTGGCACTTCTACTTGGGGTCAAAATTTCAAAATCACGCAGTATGTCAAGCTTCAGCAAAGTGCAGATGATCTACTTTCCCACAGATTCCCAAGGAATCAAACAACTGTCAGAACGGTTTTTTCTTACAGCATTAGCTCTGTAATATTGAATAATTTGCATTTTTAGCTAATTGGTTGCCCCCCATGGAAAGGAGTCACAGCAGTGATTTTGAAGGATGTTTCCTGTTGGCATACTCTTCTTATTAACATCACAACTTTCCAGCTCTGTTATGCCTGTGTCCCCCACTGCGTCTTTGGTCCTTGCAGAATTATGGGAAAATCAAGTAATAGTAAAGGCACCTTAGAGAAATTCAGGCCTAGATTCAAAGCAATTGATAGGTACAAATGAAGGGACATGGACTCAATGAGCTCTTGGTGCTAGATGCCTTCAAAAAACAAGGGAATAGCTTTCCTCTGCTTCTTTTCCATGGCCTGGTAAGAATGATGTGCCCATAGTGAGCAGGAAAAAGTAATCTGCTGGACTGAAACAGAGAGAAACATTATGGGTCTGTCTCTCCATCCCTTTCCTTCTTCCTTCCAGGGACCAACACTGATTTAGCAGCGGAAATCCTGTGCTAAAGAAACTCCCCTCCACCAGGCTGATTTTTGCCTATCTACAAGAAGGCACAGCCCATGTGGCAGGCTGGTGCTGCCCAGCTGTACCTAAGCTAGCAGAGATTCATCTAGTTTGGGTGCTACTGACAGGCACGCTTTTACAAACAGAGCCCTGGGTTGCTGGGGTTGCCGAAGCAGCAGTAGAGCACTGCCACAGCTTGTGCCCAGCTCACAGATAGAAAAGTGACATTGATGGCTGCACTGCACTATGTAACCTAACTGTATGACTTCTTACCCTCCGAGTGATCACTTCTGAATAGACTTTGGGACACAGTGATAGACTGACACAACAAATATTCCTGTCTGTCCTGGATTTGTTCTGTCATTGAAGGCAGGGGGATTGTATTTTTTTTTTCTTTATGCTGTCAGTGCAGCACCTTTAATTAGTACAAAAAAAATGACTTTGAGATACAAAACTGGGGGG